GAAAGAGTGGAAATCATTTGATAGAAGGAAAGCATCCCATTCTGTCAACAGTATTAGGTAAGCTAAAGGAAAGTCACTGAAAGGACAATGAAAGCTCTTGAGATGAACTGCTCAGATTCTGAAGGACTACCTTACAACACACATTTGATTACATGAATTAGGCACACTTAGGTAACATTCTGAGGACTGCAGGAGACTTTGCTGAGAGCTCATTGCAACAAGGAGAACTGCATAACCAGTTCCTGCAAACTTATTGTGCCTGAACTCACCCTGCTGATATCCTGGAAAGCTGGCTATAGAGCACAGCCTCTCCTCAGAGACATTCTAGGCAGTCTCTCCTTGCACAGGGAAGAAACAGCAGCGCATTTACAATTAACCACTTGAATGGGACCCCTGGCTCACTTGACTATTTAAATATGTATTTGCAGCCAGCATTATAATTTCACATGCAAAGGTGTACCTTTGCATATGAAGGAAGAAAAAACAATCAAACAACAACAAAAAAAAAAAAACACACCACACCTTAAGGGTCTAAGAAAGCAGAAAAGTATCCCAGAACAGTTGAGAGAGAGGCTCCTGGCTCATAAGTCAAACCTTTCAGTCATCAGTGACATAAATTCCTTTGTGGCAAATAAGAAATGAGAATTAAATAGTTTTTGTGCCCCTGATCAAGATCTGAAGAAAGGTAAAGCATCTTAAAGTAAACAAAATGCACTGCAGAAATCTGAGGTATTAAATCAGAATGTCATGATTAACTGTTCAGAATACCCAATCCAAAACCCATTTGACTCCACGAGAGCCCTCCACAGGCTTTCAATTAGGGCTTAATACCAAGCAGAAAAATAAAATACTGTCAGTTCACAGAATTCTCACCTTTACTGTAGTTGACGTAGAAGAAACATTCCCATACCGGACATGCTTACGGAGGTGATTACAGATGGCTCGAAGTGTTGGATGAACTTCCACACAAAATTTACATTTGTAACCAACCACTTTCATCTCTTTAAATTTTGAAGCATCTTCCAAGTGCCCAAAAGCCTATTGAAGTGCATGAGCATCAATCAGTTGTATTAATTTAATACTTAAAAATGCTTCTGATGTCTGATTTTTAGAAATATACATCCAGACCAGATTTTGCATCTGAAGGGAAATTACATTTAGTGTACACTTGTGCTATTGTGCAAAACTTCAACCTTAATTTGTGCTGACTTCTATTAAAGCCTCCAAAATAAGTGGACAGGACATGCACAGGAGAAACTTTGAGTTTCTGCATAACTGTGGTGCCCTAGAAGATAATTCAGTTTGAACTTACAAAACCAAACCAAGTTATTTCATGATCCCCCGCCACCTCCCCTCCCTTGCCCATCCTATCCTGCCCCCAATTGTGAGGAGCTTTTCTGCAGCAAGTAGAGTTGCTCCAGATGGTGGAAGGGGGTGCAGAAAAGTAGGATTTGGTCTTCTGTTTGCAAGAGTACATGTCCAAAACTTGAAATTATTACACAGATTCAGATTAACATCAGGTTCTTTATTAGAGAATGCACTGAAAGGGATAAGCTTGAGAAGAAAATTGGTGTGTTATTTCAAGGTATATTGATGAGCAATGAAAATTGGACATTGCTAAAGAATCTAAAAAAAATAAATAAACAGCAGCCTTGCAATAGAAGAATACATAACTGTCAAATACAGATAGCCTTCCATAGGGGTAGGAGGAAGGAAGGAAGATAGGGAAAAGCCTGAAGTAAACAGCTAGAAGGAACACGTCTTCCTCATGTGCTTAGGAAGGGGTGGAGAATGAAAGTAGAATATGTAACTGACTTATGGAGCCCATTGGCACACTGAATCACTCACAAGCCTGTGGTCATTTGGCTGCCAAAGAAAACATGCAAGTGGATATTAGTAATTTAGAATCTCCTGGGGTGTAGAAGAATAGTTTTTTATTTTTTAGCAGAGAAGACCAGACACACAAATCCTTACCCTATCCTGTTTGAAATCTGCAAAACCACCATCTGCATATTTCTGCTTGCTCAAAAGCTGTTTCCTCCTCTCTTGACGTTTGGCACGCTTCTGGAATTCCTCATTGTGACTACTCAAGTGTGAGGTCAGATCTGCTGTGCTATGCAATTTAGTATCACAGTGCTTGCACTGGTAGACAGCATTATGAGAGCGGGTGCCACTTGCCAGCATGGCAAAGTCTCTCTTCAAATCCTTGCTGTGGTGGTCAGTGAAATGCATGCACAGCAACTCTGCTGTGCTGAAGGAGAGCTTGAAACATTTTACACACCTGAAGGGAAGCCACTCAATTTCCTGAGTCTCACTGTCCACCTGAGGCCTTTCAAAGTCATTCCTTTCCTCAACTGGAAATGATTTTTCATGCTCTTCAGCATATACGGCAGTGAAGTAACCTCCAAGCTTGCTCGCATGCTGCTTCTTAGGAAAAACACCAGGGTGACGCTTCATGTAGTGGGACACAATGCCTTTTTTGCTAAAAGACTGGAAGGAACAAAGCGAGCATTTCTTCTTCTCCACAGCACTCCTCAGCTCCTCACTTAACTGAGGAGTGTCCTCTTTGGGAGGAGATGGAATGATCACTTTATTGGGTTTGTCACTTACTGTCCTGGAGGCTGCTAAGCAGTGGGTATAGTAAGCATCAATGTCATGCCTTTTCTGGTAGTGTGCTGCAAGCCCTTTGCGGATAGGGTTGGTGTAGGAACACAAAGCACACTTGAAGAGGTTGTTCTTGCCTTCTGGTTGTGCCCGAACATTGTTATGTTTGATGCGGTAGTGCCTGGCTATCCCCTTCCGTGTGGAACAAAAGTATTTGCAGAGCTGACACCGGAACACCATGTGAGACACTAAGGGAGAATTGGAGAAATGTGGTGCTGGGACAGACACATCTCCAACATCCTCAGCAAAAATTTCTGGGGAGGCCTTGATTTCAGTCACCATGTCTGGTTCCACTGAGGCAGACACCTTTGGCGGTGACTGAGCAAAAACATCAAATTCAGGCTGATTATGGTATTTCTCATAGTGATTTTTGAGCTTCTCCAATGTGCCATGGGTATAAGGGCATAATTTACACTGGTACGCACCATATCCTTGCTTGAAAATCCTATTTGTCTCTTCCACATCAATCTGGGTAATGTCATTTGACTGTTCCATGTCATGCACAAAGTCTTCAGCAGTGACCTTTATTGATGGGTGTCGTTTCTGGTAGTGTGTGAGGACTCCATGAATCCGTGTATTAATGTATGGGCAATGCCTGCACTTATACACAGCTCCTGAGTTAATGTCCATATCTTGTGCAAAGTCAGCAGCTTTCACTTTCATGCCAGGATGCTTTTTGCCATAATGTGTCAGGAGGCCATGCAAGTTATTGTACTCGGACTGGCAAACTGTACACTGATATGGAGTGGAAGAAATGGCACGGTTTGCAGAAGCCAGTTGGACATTTTTTTCCTGGGAAAGTCTGGGATCCTCTGCAGCCTGATCCATCTGTGATGTTACCTGGTTTTCTGAATTAATCCTGGTCCAAACTTCATCAAGGTGTGTGCCAGTTTTCCCAACAGCATCTTTCTCCTTAATGATATCTAACACTACAGATTCATCCCCATTCATGGCCCAAGGGTGAAAAGCCTGGTAATGATTAGTAATATCCCAAATGTAAGATGCTTCAAAAATGCAATCTCTGCATTTATAGGTCATTGTTGGCATCACTAGAGTAGGAGGGGCAGGATCTGGACCTGCCCAGAGTTTAGTTGCCATATATGTATAGTCAACATAATGCTCAGGATGCCTCCTTTGGTAGTGCACAAGCAAACCACTTGGTTCTGTATGTGAATAAATGCACCATTCACAGTGATAACCTGATTCTATCAAGCCATCCAAAAATGCCCATCTCAGAATGGATGTGACTGTGGCCTTCAGATTTGGGTGGTCTTTCTTAATATGCTTCCTCAATGCATAGAAGTAAGGCGATGTGTAGCTACACTGCCTGCATTTGAGGGCTCTTAGCTTTGTCTTGTCCTGTTCTGTACTGGAAGTATGAGCAGGCATGCTGCCAGATGATTTTTTCTGGTTGTGATCATAAAGGCTTCTAATGGTGGCTGTATGTTGCCTAATCACATCTGCATTGGCTTTGAAATCATGATGCTTCTTTTGATAATGAATGAGCA